TTTTTCTTTTAAAAGACAACAAATACATTTCAACAACCCATAAACGGGTTTAATAATGCTACTTTAATATAAAATTAATAAGCCCCCTCAAAGGATTTCGGCATCCACAATTTTCATATGCCTAATGTCTAAGATCATTTGGTTGGAGTTGGTTATAATTTACTCAAAACATAAAAATAAGGTAAATTACAAGTAAATCATCATACATAAGGAATACCTATTACTCGTTTCTACCTTCTTTTTTTTTTTTTTTCTGTAATAAGTGTGAGTTAAAAAGGAATAATTAAGATTTAGAAGAAGTTGTTAATAGCTATTATCAATTATTTTGTTATATTAAAAATAAGAAAAATGATTGGTATACACTCAATTTGACACATTTTTTAACACTTGTCTGACTTAATTATTAAAAATATAATATAAGTACAGCTAATTCAATCGGTTACTGCATTTTATATTTATGATTGCATCTCCAAATTTGTTTGCTTTAATTTTAAATTAAAAAATAATAATTTTTCATTAAATGTACTATACAATTTATTGAATTAGAGTGTGTATCACTCACTATTTTAGAAGTAATTTGAATAAAAGCAGCAGGGAATAGCTATTTCTTAACTTGGAGGAGACCCCTTTTGATTCATGAAGCAACACAGGCGGATTCATTAATATCTCGACTAAATCAAGTAACTCAACACTACGGAAGAAGCGACAAATGGAAATGGCAATTTAGTGCAGATGGGTGATATGAGGTACGATCTAGCTACAACATGCTTCTACATTTGGACTATTCTGTGACAACCAGGATCTATGACCATGTCAGGCAAAATGATATTCCAAGCAATATTTACATGGAGACTAATTTAGGACAGAATATCTACAAAGTTGAATCTTTTTTAGAAGATGTTATCACAGACCTTAACTCCTTACCATGTGTTTATGATTTTGGAGAGAGGGAGGACTCAAACCACTTATTCTTGCACTGTATAGTTGCTCACATTCTATGTCTATGGACAAAATGCTTTAGATGGTGGGGAGTTTACAGTGCTATGGCTGATACATGTTGGAAGGCCTTCGAACAACGTGAAGCACTAATAGTTTCTGCAAGACAAAGGTGAGGATGGAAGTCAATATGGTTTGCTATCATATGGACTCTATAGCTTGCAAGGAATAATGTCCTGTATAAAGACACTCCTCATGAGAACGAGAAACTGTTTGATCTAGTCTAAGTTTGTTCCTACCAATGAGCGCGGGGAGTTAGTGAATGTTTGGGCATATCATTTACCAATTGGACGCAGGAGCCAGCATTATGCATAAGGTATTCAGCGTGAACAAGGGACAAATGACAAGCCTCAACCAATTGCTGTCAAACTGTTGGTAGCACCAAACTATAGAAAATTCCTTAAACTAAGCTTGTATCAAATTTTATGTTTTCACTTCATTTATGTGTGTATACATGGATTAAATACTCCTTACATTTAAAATATAGAAATAATCTTTTTGTTGTTTAAAAAAAAGAAAAAGAAAAAGGAATATCCATTTCTTATATGCAATGCTTACCTTATAACTTAGCTTACTTTAATAAATTATTTAGTTTCAAGGAATACAAAGGAACATGAGGAAAGGGTAGAGGAAGGAAACTTATTATTATAACAAATTATTTCATTGGCCCAATGATTTAATTTAACTGTTCAAAATAAGTTAGGTCCCCTCCCTTTCTCTCCCCTTGCTTTCGTCTCATGAACCAAACAAACTATTATAGTTTGACTAATAAATTGTAATTATTTCTCCAACCAAAAGAGGGATGAAATTGACTACAAAAGAAATCAAAGGTCTAGATAGAAGAACGTGATAAAATTTGAGGGTTCGACCAATTATTTTAAGTAGTATAAGGCAGGTAGAGTCAACTCTACCGTCTTCTTTTCTCTTTCTTCTTTTTCCTTGTTTTTCTAAAAATAAGTTGATTTTGTGGCTATTTTATAAGGGGTCTGTCCAACTTTACCTTTAGGATATATGCTAAATTTTATTTATTATAATATTTTTAATTAATTTTACATAAATTTTCATATTAAATTTATATATTTTTACA